GCTCGATAGACAATCCCCTTGGAACTCCCGGTTCACCGCGGCGAAGTTTTGGCGAACATACCCTGAGAGGGGTACATTCACCTATTCCTCCAACATACCTCAACTCTAACCCAAACACCAAGATCAACATTTAAATCACTAATTTATCCTCAAAAATCAACCAAAAGAGGTTATTAAAACCTGATAAAAACTCAGGATGTTACAAATTGTGGCCTCTCGAGAGAATTGATGATTGCTTAAAAGATGCACTGTTCTTTTTATTTTATTTCCTAATCATCATTATGTCAATATTTCAATGATTCAAGTTTCATATCTATGATGTTACAAAATTATCATCAAGGTACCCAATTTGTAAGAGCACCAAGGAATAAAAAAACCAAACCAGGAATTAAACCAATTGAGATAGTGGGTCAAGGGTTACTGGTCAGACTGGGATCGGACCGGTCTATTAAAATAATATAATTTAATTCAAAATATTAAAATAAAACAAAATTCATAAATAATAATCACTAAAATTTGATTCCTCTGTTGCATTCTGTTTACGCTCTGTACCCATTTACACAACACAACCAAAATTTGATTACTCTATGCACATCAATTTTCATAGTGTGTGTGTGTGTGTGTGTGTGTGAAAGGCAGCTTATCCATGAGGGAGCAAAACAAAGATTGCATGTGTGAGATTGTGAGTGGCGGATTAACCTGTGAACTGGACTATAGATTCTGCGAACTTGACTGTCATCGAAGTCGAGAAACTCAACAAACAAAGTAGAAATAAGGTTGGGATATTTATTCTCATGGAGTGAGTTGCTGCTCTTGCTCCCCTACATCAAACTCGGTCATTGAGTTCTATAGGGTGCCACCGAACTTGGTGAATTGTAGCTGCTCCAACTATTATTATTGAGGCTCAAGTCCGAGTTGAGCAGCGAGCCGAAATCAATGATGGCGAGCTGGTCCGGAATGCGGTGTTGCTGAGAAGTGGAGATGGAATGCACTGACATAACTAAAGGATAGGGTAGTGCTGGCATGGTGGCTGCGGCTAGTGACGGCAAATGATTAATGCAGTTGGCAGAAGGAAAAGGCCGAACAAGGAGCTCTGCCGTCAACAAGCCAGGGAATAGGGATCTTAGAGGAGGTAATTTTGGCTTGGGTTTGAGGGAGGGAGGAGCCTGCACTGCTTGAGCCGGAGGGGAATCAAGGGAGGGAAATGAGGGAACTCGACAGGAAAAGAGAAGAAGGGTTTTTTTTAAAAATAAAAAATAAAAACAGCGTTATTTTGAGATTTCTGGTAGGCAAAAAAATATAAACTGGGTAACCTACAGAATCGGGGTTACCCGATTTAATACCAGTTTTTATTGGTTAAACCAATTTTTTACCAGTTCAATAGACCGCCGGCCTACCAATTAAACTAGATAGGACTGTGGACTGGTTCACCGGTTGAACCGGCCGATCTGATTCGTTTTTTTTCCTTGAAGAGGACAAGTAGGAAAAAAATATTAGTAGTGAGAAAAATAATGAAAAAGAATTAAGTATGAGAAAAAGATGAGCAGAGAAAATAGAAATTAAAAAAAGAGAAAAATATTAAAATATGTGGAGGGAAATAAAGTTCATAATTTATTTTCCAAGTTGAAAAGAAGAAAATCTGGTGCCATTTTTTTTTTGATTTAATACAAGTTAAACACACACATAAACATGTCAACATCAAGCTTGAATTTCAGACCTTATCCAAAATATGGCAAATGGCGTGGCTACTGAGACAACTCACCGTTAACAAATTCGATGCGGTCCTCATAAAGTGTCATGCATATACGTACATAGATATGTAAATATATATATATATATATATATATATATATGCTGTCCCTCCATCTCCATTGTACTATTAAAACATTATTTCCATTATTATTTATAGTCTTAGCCGATCCTTTTAATTACTATAATATATAAAATTAATTATAGGTAAAATTAGTAAAAACACATTTAATATTCATATAATTTCAATATGACATTATAAAAGGATCAAACTAATTGAGAATTTAATATCTTATTAAAAAAAGACCAGTTAATCAACCAAGAGTGATCATATTTTAAACCATTGAAACACTTTAACAAATACTACCTCCAATCTTAAATATAAGAGCTAGTTAACTAGTTTGAATATATCAAAATAAATAAGTTAAATTAGTTATTTGTTATAAATAAGCGTTGTATTTTTTAAAATATCCTTACTAATCAATTGTATCGGTTAGAACTACTATTATTAAAAGGACTGCCTTAAAAAAATGAATAAATATGAGAAACAAAGTAGATTGAGGTCTTATATTTAAGACTAAAATAAAAGTTAAATAAGGTCTTATATTAAGGACCGGAAGTAGTACTATTTAAGAAAATAGATGATATATTTTGCAATCAAGAAAAAAAGATTGTAATAAAGCCAATCCAAGACATGTGAAGGGTACACATAAAACTTTCCTAAATTCACAGGAGAGTGAGTTATGTAGCCACATATCTAGAGAAATTATTCGATCAGTATCAAATTTGAGAGATAAATGTGATCTAAACCATAGAGCTCTAGACCATGGACAAAGTAGAAACAGATGTTCTCTGGTTTCTACTGTTGGACGGCCAAATGGACAATTGGGATCCACATTTATTTGACATCGAATTATGATATCTTTGATAGGTATGGCATGGTGCAAGAGTTTCCAAATGAACAAAGCAACATGAGATATGAGATGAGTACTTACCAGAGTTTTCTAACCATATGTCACTGAGTACTTACCACTACAATTACCTGCCCATATTAATTCATCATTACATTGGAGCACTGAAAATGTGTGAAGAATCTTATCTACTGTGGTTCTGTCGTAAAGGATTTTGAGGAGTTTCACATTCCAAACGTCCCTGATTGTGTAGTAATAAGTCACCCACTGATGTTATTGTCAATGGGCGAACACACTGCGAAGGCCACCAAAGGCGGCTATAGAGGTTGACTTGTGAACCACTTCCCAATTTCCATCCTAGATTATCAAGGATTAATTCTTTAACAGTACTAATATTTTTCCACATCTGTGATTCTGTAGATTGCGAAACTAGCATTCCTTCATCTTTCTCAGAAACATATTTGGGTTTTATAACTAAAGAAAATGGGGAGTCTTTTTCAGCTACAAACAAACGCCAAATATGCTTTGCAAGTAAGGCTTTGTTGAAGACTCTTGTTTTTTTGACGCCAAGGCAACCCTCATGCTTAGGAAGAGAGATCTTATCCCATGCTAACCAGTGAATATTTTTCCTGTTGTTATGAAAACCCCAAAAGAAGTTTGCTATTTTCATATCAATTACATGAGCTATGTGCCAAGGAAGCTTATAACAAGAAAGGGGGTAGACCAACACAGAGGAAATGACAGATTTAATCAGGGTTAGTCTACCTGCTTGAGAAAGCAGACGGGCACGCCAAACTTGAAATTTTGAATCTACTTTATCCAGAATATCCTTGCATAATACTGATTTATCCTTTCCAAGATCCGTATATTGACCTAAATATTTACCAAATTTGGAAACAAAGTGAAAACCAAGAATGCCAGAGAGTTGCCTTTTTCCTTCATGGTTGAAATTAGGACTGAAGACAATAAGGGATTTCTTTTTTAAAAAGCTAGCTGAGGCAGTAGATTTTTTTTTTTAGCAGTGATTACATAGATATAATTAGACATTACACGTTTTAATTTTCGTGGCATAAAATAGCTAGGACTCCTTTCCTTCATTTATACCAACCGAGGCTTGAATCATATGTTTATTATCTTTTCACAGAGGATAAAATAGACATTCAACAAATAATTGCGAGCCTACAATGAGTATTCACATAGGAGGCCTCCTAAAAATAGACGTGAAGAAAAAATGTACAATTCTTTTTAGGAGTATATAATCCATTTTTATTATCATTCAACCTAACTAAATTGGCCATTTATGATAATGGAATGAGAATTACCATTATATATTTGTAATGGCATTTAACCAAACCACCCTTAATTAGCTAGATTACACCTTTCTAATATATCATCACTCTGACACCACAAAAAGGGGATTACCGTTATTCCTTGCTCTAATTATTGAGTTTTCTGGTTCTCTTTCTTTTTCTCTGTGCACGTGCGCAGCGCATCATTTGTGTGACGAATAAAGACCATGTCACTAACGTTTCTTACAACAACAAAAAAAAAAAAACTGTTAATTATTTATAAAAAAATGCGCAGTGTTGGTTTTTTAAGATATCCTCTTTAACCATTTTCAATGAAAACTACCCAATACTGAAACCAAGCTACCTTTAATATATATAATTAATCTGAATAATTGGGTCAAAATTTTATAAATTTGAAAAATAAAATAGATTAAATTAAACTCCTATATTTAGACTCAAAATAAACTTATTAACTAGCTTCAAAGTAACTCCACTATCGGCTAGTACCACTACAATCCTTGACTTCTATCATTCTTCCTTGTGCGCGCTAAACCGTGTTCTTTGTCTCATTTCCAAGAAAGACGAAAGAAAAATTAGTAGATTCTACTTGATTCAATGAAAAATAGAAATATCTTGTAAAAAAGGATGGAAGAAGTGGGAGAGCGGTGGGGAGAGCACTCAATGCGCATATAGATATTTGATGCAAGCAATAAGAATACGACAAAAGAATAATGGAGGGGCTGGAAGAACGTAAAATAATAGCACAGCCATATTTAAAGGAAGCAATAGGGACCACGCATACCATGTTTTTGCCCTTGTTTGAAATATTGTTAACCGGAGTCCAACCCACATTATATAATCCTTCATAGACAATGGATTGAAGCCTTTATTCAATTATTTGACCGTAAATTGTAAGATAAAAGCATATCCTGAAAATTAAAAGTCTTAATTTGTTCCTTCGTTATTGCTATCAAAAAGTAGGCCAGAGAAATGAAATGAGGAACAATGACATATTATACTGAAGTTTAGAATATCTTTGATGGACCTTGGCTCGACTACAATTTTTGCAATCAAAAGAAAGACATGTACAATCATGAAGTGAGAGAGGATATATATAAATACCTCAATAGGCCAGTGAATTCTCAAGACTCACACTACATAAATACATTAATTACAAGAAGAGATCCATGACTCAGTAATGACAGCCACTTAATTATCTTCCTAGTAAAGCATATGCCTACTAGGACGAAAAAGACTCCTACAAAAGTAGGTCCAATAAAGTATATCAGACCACAGTGGGAATAGCAGAAATGCAAACAAGGGTATGGGTATAAAAGCAAGTGCAGAAATGAAGTTAGGAACCCACTTTGAGCCATGACAATACATGATGAAAAAGGCACTACCAAATGCTATCATCATGCTTATTATAGAGATAAACAAAGCAACCAATCCAGATATGAGCTTCAAGGGTAATGACTTGCGAAAATCCTCTTCTGCATAGCGTGAGATGAGAATGGACAAAAAAATTAGTATGGAAGTTGAGGATGAGATCATTGCAGCTGCATCAGATATGGCAAATATCAGGAATGATGATTTTTTCAAGTAATTAGGATTTCCTGAATTGTCATTAATACCCCCAGGTATACTGAATGCAGCTGTAAACACTCCGGTAGTAATAAGAGTAGAAACAACCATGCATTGTTCTGCTCTTTTCTTCATCCATGATTCTGCTTCTTTTAGCAGGTTTTTGTGTTCCTCTGTGAATAGTTGCTGAGGAGTCAAGTCTTTTGCATTCTTCTTCTCTATACATGATGGTGGCATTATCTTCTTCACCTCCTGCCATGTCAAAATATAATATGCTATCAATATCAATATAAAATATATACAATTTATAACAAATTGCACTATTATCACAAGTCGTTGTTTATTTTCTACAATATACAAGAATGCATCAAAAGTAATAAGTACTTGTGTAATCCATCTTATAAGATAGACTTAAATATTGTTGATAGTATAATATTGTACCTCGAACCATAATAATTCAAGGGTCATTTGGAAAGCTGCTCCAGAAACTAAGTTTAATCGATCTGATGGTGCCAATCTTGCTGCCATATGCAATAAGTTGTCTTTATCTCTAGTATCCTCAAAACATACGATGAAATCTTTGATCGGGCCAATATCATGTATGAGATTGAAGATATCAGCATAACGACGCAAAACTGCAACATGAATTATGCTTCGATTTCTTTCATCAACTTCCCATATTAAATCAGGATAGGTACTTATAAGCTCCGCTAGAAACTCAAAATTTCCAACTTCTACGGCATTAAATATTACTGGTGAAGGTTCTCTTATGTTGCCTATAATCATTGCATCATCTTGTTTAAGGAATATACTCCACAAGTATTTTACTAGTTGAAGTTGTTGAGTTTGCCTAAAACCTGTGAAACACAATTTGATCGTCAAAACACAATTTGTATGTATCGTAAAACCACTTTATCATAATTATATATCATCCGTAATTTGTGATCATGGACACTTACAGGACTTCATGAACCGCTTTCTATATCGCTGACTTTGGCAAATAGAACTCAAAGGCTTTCGAGCCAATATATGCAATATTGTCTCATTGGTTGACTCATCTCTCTCAAAAGCTAGATCTTGGTTTATCTCTAGACACTTCAAGGCTAAATCTGCAAAATGAATACATAAAATAAGTCATATATATGATTGGTACATGATTGACACAAGGTATGTATATGATACATATCACACTTCAAATTTTACAGCCTAGTATTTTTGTTCATGCTTGTGTAATATTCTTACCGTAGATTTCATTGTTGACACAGCAGAAGAGCAATACTATCCAATCAGTATGATCATGAAAAAACGGAATAGTTTCTGGACAAAGATGCCAAGCCATGTCACTTTGTCCTTGTAAAGCCGCCATATGAAGAGGAGTGGTTCCTTGACCGCCCCTTATCAGTGGCAAGTTTTTGTTTTTTCTCTTCATGATCTCAACAATCTCTAGATTCCCAGTTGCTGCAGCGATGCTGAACGCAGTGTTCCCAGTCACATCTTGCAATTCCAAGTCTTCTGGGTGCATTTCCTTCACTAGCTCATCCACAAAGTGAACATGATTCGCTCCGGCAGCCACATGGAGTACTGTCGACCACCCCCTGGTTATGGCGGCACAAGCTAGACTCCGGTCTTGATCTAAGATATCCTTTGCTACTTTCCAATCACCTTTCAGTGCTGCTTTGTGAAGTGGAACACAAAACCTTAGGTATTTATCTCTTCGTTCCTCTGAAACAAGTTAATCAACGGAAACATTGTTATATAGGTTGTCATATAAATGGAAACAAATTAGAGAGAGAGAGAGAGAGATCATACGTGTGTGATCTATAAGATTAAGGTTAGGCCTTCTAAACTGAGCTGAAGCAACCCTTTGAAGTTCTTGCGCCTGTATAGTCACAGAACTTTCATCTGCTACGGCCATTTCTCTGTCAAGAAAGCACAGTATGTCTGTGTTCAAAAATTAATTTGCCTCTAAAACTAACGTTGGAGGATAACCTTGGTTACGTTATGCTTGGAGCTACTTATGGCATGTAAGGAACAAAACGCTTTTTACTGCTATCAAGGATTGGCTAATGAAGTTTTGGTTCTGTGAAACTCTTGAACCATAAAGCTAACAACTACTTCGCTTCTCCTATTTATCGTATAGATGCCCCGTAACATCTTTTTTGTGAACCAAGAGATGCCTTTTTGTAATTCTTTTGACCAATGATATCAGACCTTTATCTCAAAAAATGAAAATAGTTTGCATTTTTGTGTATATATATGAGTCTTCTAGATTGTTCTGATTTATAAATTAATTAAATATATACTTCCTCAAAACTTTAAAAAAAAAAAATAGACTTGTTAAGTAGGAGCTTCTTAAAATTCAAAATTACTCTAGAATGTAACTAAAAAGTGATAAAAAAATAATGGAAAATATAGAGAAAAAAATTAAGAAATAGAGTGTAATTAAAAAGTTTCTATAAAATATTTCCTGGGTACAAGCGTCAAATAAAGAGAGGAGGCCTACCAGAGCCTTATCAATGGTTATGCCATGACGTCAGCATGCTAACATCATACACTCCTAAGAAGAGTGGATCGCTGTTGGCGTGCTGTCTAAAACTAATGTTCAATTGGGAAAAAAAAATTATATTTTATATTAAGATGAAATAAATTGTCTATAAATAAAATAATACTCCCCCTTATGAAATTAATTAAAACCTCGTGAATGAAAACAGCGGGAGGAGAGAGACTATACAAGCAGATAATGATTCAGAAGCTGGAACTTACTTTTGAGACTCTCTCTCTAACTTATCAACATGACCGGGAAGAATGAAGAAGAAGAGGATAGGATAGTAAATTTACGTGTGGATCCTGTGTGTGGGCAAGCACAAGCAAAAACTCCTCTGTCTCTCTAGTGATTCAACTTCGGACGAGTTCGCCATCTAATTCCCACCTGATTCTAAACACAAACACACAGATTCACCAAACTTCAAATTAAAACATTATCATCACTCTATAATCTCTCTCTCTGTGAAACACATAAACTAGCCAACGCATCAGAGAGAAATTGCAAGGAGTGAACACTGAAAGCAAGTTCAGAAAAGCTTCAGAGTTTTAGATCATTCACCTTCTTCTAATTGGACTGAGTTAAAATAATAACAGTAACAAGAGAGAAACAAGAAGCTTGGTTATTTCCAGAGAGAGAGAGAGATTGGAATAAATTACCGGAAAGTAGGGCAGTGGTGATGGATCTGAAGGCCGTCTGGTTCGTCAGAGAAGGTGGAAGGAAGCAAATATAAGAATCAATCACAAAGCACCCCATCAACTCTGTAAAGTCCTACCAATATGTGTTAAATTATTAGAGTACGGCCACAGTCATTTGGCTTTACTGCTTATTTTCCTATAATAACAACAACTTTGCGAAGAACAATATTAAATGTCTCTTCCTTTTATTATTAAACCACCCAGTATGCATCCTGATCCGTCTTACTTTTAACTAATTGGAGTTCAACCTAACTCGGAATGATGGAGTTTTTGGGATGCCCAAAATCACTTTTAAAAAAATATATTTCCCCACAAATTAAAACAAAAATCTTCTCACATGTTTATTTTATATACCATAAAATTATTTTTAAAAATATCGGTTAGTTTTTATCTAATTATCTAAGTTAAATGATATCATTTGGACAATAAAACTCTCTCTTTAAATATTTATGATAATAGTATAAGATTTTGTTTATAATTTATAAATAAAGTCTTATAATTAAAATCGAAAGAAAGTAATATTAAAAGAAGAAGTATAATAAAAACTATATCCTTCCACAAACCATAGGAGACATGGAAGTGAAATGCAGAGAAGCTTCAGAAAAAGGCAGGGGAAACGACAAATGGGGTAGGGGCTGCTTTCGCTCTCCTCACTTGACCTTCGCGGAAGAAGATCCTCTCAGCGTCCTCTTCCCTCGGCGTCCGAATCCCAGCCGTGGAAATGAATCTAACAAATCAAATTGAGCCACATGATGACGCTATTAAAATTTAGAAATAAATCTTAATCATGGTATAAAATTTTTTACCAGCTCTAAACTAAGATTATTCTAGCATGAGATATCCGGTTTTTCTCATCTTCCTCATTTTAACTAGAGGATTTATGAGAAGTTCAAACTCCAAACTTCGAGATGACTATAAAAGATGAAAAAACTTAATCATGAAATATTTATATATATAATTTTTTGGATTTATTACAGTTAAATCTAATATAGATCGAGTTAGACAGGACACAGAGAGTTGTAAAATAATACCAAGTATTTTATTTTTTTAAATTTTTAGTTAAAATACTTGAGGGCAGAACTTCACCTCTCTCTATGGTTCTATTTGACTCAATTTATATCAGCTGGATTCCTAATAAACTTTACCGTTCAAATAAGTAGATTTAAGAAATTAGGTGTTTCACTCTGAAAAAAATTTGAAAAAAATAGTTCAAAGCTACTTAAAAATTTTATAGCATCAGTTAGATTTATATTTAATTTTTAATAGCAGGATGATGTGGCATATTATGGCCTCTTAAATTAATCTGACGGATCATATTAGGACGCTTAGAGACCCTGAGGGATGCTGCCGCTGAGAGTGCTGAACTTTGTTCTTTTTTCCTTTCTTTTTTTTTTTGGCGGACTTTGTTCTCTTGGAGGATGTGATATTTCAACCGTGTTCATCCGATGACCATCCTAAAGCTTATCATTAAAAACTAGCCATCACAATGTATTATAGTCATACAATTAAGCATCTTTACTTTTTTTAGTTTTTCTTAATAAGTTGATATATATAGGAAAAACGAGATCTCCACTGTTATACGATTACTCCTTCCAGTTCTAAATATAAAACCCATTTTAGGATCAGAAGAGTATATCATAAGAGGAAGAAAAAAAAGAAAGACAAAAATTGCAATAATTTCATAACTGCAGGATTTTGGGATGTCTTTGAGATGCCTATTTCAAGTCTTGACTGAAAAAAAATTAAAGAAAAGAAGGGCTGTGTATTGGGACGTCATCCCAAACCCGTCCCCATCTCACCATTTTAAATATTATCGTTTCATCTATGACTCATTTTCAATTTGACTTATTAAAATTAAAGAAAATCTTAAAATTTATTGTCTCTCCCTCTCTCTAAAAATTTAATAATTTTTCAATTTTACCTTGTTGAATATACATATTTTAAATAGGATACCAAAATCTTAGAAACACCCACCAACATTTGATGGGGTATAGAAGAAGAAATTTGTGAAAATAAAATAATGATGTGTCTTATAATTATTACAAAAATCATTCTATCTCTATTTTATAGATAAGATCAAGAGATTATATACATATATTGCTTATAAATTTTATTTGCTCAATAATAAGATTAACTTTTTCCATGAAAACCGATTATGTGAATATATATATATATATATCAAACTTTGAATAAATTTAATAACTAATTGGAGTTGGGTTGGTTGTGTTTGTTATTAAAAAAATACTGTATTTTCTCAAATCAGTGAATTATGTCTTATATTAAAGATACCAGGTAGTATTTAAATTTAAAAAACTAAAAGCATATAATCCACTCATCTAGAAGATGGAGTAACTGTTTAAAGTCTCCACGGTAGTCAACGGGAACAGAAGTGAGATGGTGATCTTTTTTGTCAATTAGAAGAATAATTATGTGAGTGAGAAAAGTTTGGACCAAAAACCAAGACAATTTGCTCTTGCCTTTGAATTTTGAAAATAAAAAATATTATATTTTTATCGTCTTAAACGTAAGATCCTAATATATTTTATCTCTTACATTTATATTTTTTCTTAAACTCTTTTATTAACTGGACGTTTTGAGTTTCCATAAGTGAGTAATTTGTATAAAAAAAAAGGGACCTCTTAGAATTATGAGATAAATTAAATAAAAATAAAAATAATAGGATGATAATATGTACTGAAAAGCCTATATATATTATTCTCTCGTTATCAATGTTGAATACACTACGCACGACTCTCTCCGTGATACCTTTTTCACTTATTTTTCATTATCTCGTAGATATAGATTGTCAAATCTTCAACAAATGATTTAGATTTTATTTTTTTTAACATAGTTTATTGAAAAGTAACCGTGATCAAACTCATTTTGCACCTTAACAAAAATAATGTGAATAACATGTGAACTTATAACTTAAATTATATCCGGAACAAAATTATTATAATTTGAAAATTTTTAGAATTATATTGACCTACAAAAACTTCCAAATACCTAATATTTTTTAGTGACAATTTTTGAAACAAATTTTACCCTAACCCTTAATTGTAAACACTTTTGTGAATAAATTGTGCCCTCTACTTCCGTTCGGAGTTCATAAAAATCGCAATTCGAAATCATTGATGAGATTGAAGAAACTGCACAAACCACCCCATCAACTCTATAAAGTCCCACCACAATGTGCTAAATTATTAGAGTACGGCCACAGTCATTTGGCTTTAGTGTTTACATTCTTGTAACAACAACTTTATGAAAAAAAACCAAATTATAATTTTAAAAGTGATTTTATGATATACAAAATAAATATGTAAAAAAATATGTCTCGATTTATGAAAAACTATTTTTAAAAAGTATTTCTGGAATGTTTTCAAACACCCCATAACCTAAAACACCTAGCACGCATACCGATCTGTCTTACCTTAAAATTTTAACTAATTGGAGTTTAACCCAATTCGGATTGACGGGGTTGTTTAGGATATCCCAAAATCACTTTAAAAAAATTACATGAATCCACGTTAAGATAAAATTTTTCTCACATATTTACTTTATATATGATAAAATTATTTTTAAAATCATGATTTGGTTTTCTCTAAAAACCCCTGAGTATCATTTGGGCAACTAAACTCCCTCTTCAAATATTTATCCTAATATATTGGTGGCTACTAACACAAAAGAGAGTAGCTTTTTTGGCATAAAAAATAATAAAAGTAATACTGTTTCCCATTATTAAATTGTAATACAATTTATATTGCAAAATAAATATTATATCAAGGAGGAAAGTAGTAATAAAAACTAAAACGAAATACAATGAAATCCAAAAAAATAAAATTATTAAACAGATCTCAAAAATTATCATTTTTTATTCTAAAACTTATCATTACATACTATTTAAATTGTTGTTAAAAAATTTTTAATAATTATTTTTTTAAAGATCTTGTTATAATTCTCCCGTGACTAAATCCTTCCACAAAGACTAGAAAACATGTGAGTGAAATGCAGCGAAGCTTCAGAAAAAAGTGTGGGAAACGACAAATGTGGTAGGGCCTGCTTTCACTCTCCTCCCTTGACCTTCGCCGAAAGAGCCGAAGAGGATACTCCCAGCGTCTTCTTGGCCCAGCGTCCCTCAGCGTCCAAATCCCAGCCGTGGAAATTAATCTAACGGCTTGCATTGTGTCACGTGATGATGCTATTAAATTAAAAATTAGAAATAAATCTTAATCATAGTATAAACTTTTTTACCAACGTCCAAATAAACTAGGATTTTTTTAGCATGGAATATCCAGTTTTTCTCATCTGGAGGATTTATTAGAAGTCCAAACTCCAGACTTACCGAGATGACTATAAAAGATTAAAAAAACTTAACCATAAAATATTTATATATATTTTTAATTTATCTTAGTTCAGTATGATACAGATCGAGTCATAAAAAGTAACAAAACTTCATCAAGTATTTTATTTTTAAATTTTTTAATTAAAATACTTGAACGCAGAATTTATGTCTTTCTTTATGATTCTATTTGACTCAATTTGTAGTAGTTAAATTCCTAATAAACTTTACAATTAAAATAAATGGATTCAAGAAATTAGATGTTTCACTCTGATCAAAGTTTGAAAAATAATTCAAAACTACTCAGCAATTTTATAGTAAGGAAAATGACAATAAAATACCACTTGAATTTCAAAAAGACAAATAAGGCACCTGAATAAGCAAAATGACAAATAGGGCACTGGGTACCAATCTGGAATTCATATTTTCGGCCAAAAGACCAAAATGCCCTGATGAAATGCGGGAAGACAGATGCTAAAAGTGAGAGAAAGGAGAGAGGAAGACCAACGCAGTGAGAGAAAGGAGAGAGGAAGACCGACGCTGATGAAATGCGGGAAGAAGGAAAGAAGAATGTTGAAAATGCTATTATCTTACTCCTTCGCATCACCATTCTGTAGAGATTGTTGATTTTGGTTGTGGGAAAGAGGATTTGTAGTGAGAGAGGGAGTGAACCGAAGCGGAAATCAGAAAACAATGGCAAGCAATTACGTAACATAACTGCTGTCATATGCCTGCTGGTTTTTGGTAAATCCCACTACGTGAATGGTAAATTTCACTATACATATAGTTAATTATGAAAGTTAATAGTTCAATGTTTATTGTGACGTACTTCAAATGCACGTTCACTGAATGATTTATTTATGCTTATAAGTTGCCTTTCCGGTGAAAACAGGTTTACAA